ATCTACTTCTGTTGATCACTTGCCCACAGCCTAAAAGTTCGTGAGTCGGACAGGACCTAAGCGGTCAAACCGACACCCCTCTTCTCTTCTCCTCTAGTCTTTCTTGCTAAAAAAAATCTCTTTACATACATACATACGTTTACTACATAAGTCCTATTGTTCTACAATTCTTCGCATGCACGATATGATGTAAATTTGATAATAATTGAACGAGATGAATCAAATGCTGACTAAAGTTTCCGGTTTGTTTTTCAATGCTTTCAAACTTTACACAATTTAAATTTAAACTTCTCATTTTTCAACTACAGGAAGGTGTTTTCTGAAAGAATGATTTTCATCATCAAGACTGAAGTTTGCTCTTTTTGAAAGGCCCTGTTTTTATTTACAATATTTAAAAAGGCTGTGAATGATGGAGAAATGAATTCGATCAATACGTCTTTGGTGTGAAGAATAAGGGTCAGATTACCATAGCTTACTTTAACATAAGAAACTTTAACTGAACATCAGCAATTAAACAAGAATCATGTTTCAAATCTGTTCTTATCCGAGGCCGTCTAGTCCTTTATTGTATGAAGAAAAGGCATTCACGAGAAAAGTTTTATGAAACCACGAACACTTATGAGACTTACTTTATATTGCTTTACTTATCATATAAAATGAAATTGTGTAATAGAGGCCTGAATATATATTGCAGCCAACGAAGCAGAAACAAAGAAATAAAATTATACAGTTTCGCGTCATTTTCGTTATAGCACGTGAATACAAATCAAGAAAGCTTCTGTTTCTAATCTGTCTATAACTGGATCGTTGAAGCATCAGTCGAGGATGAACGAGTTAGCTTGTCTAATTATCACCTTCATGCTTTTCGTCATACTTAGAAAATCGTGCCCAAAAAATAACAGTGAATGATGAGGCTTGAGAACCTTCCAGATCAGTTGAAGATGTGCAAAATTAGTCACTCATTTTGAATAAATAATTAAGAATGAAATGATCACCACTTGAAATAAATAATGTCAAACTTTATGCCGCTGTTCGATAAACTTCTTTTAAATGCATCGTAAACATAAATATCAATGTTATTTCAATCCACTGAGTTGCCAACTATTTGAACTGCATCTGGTATATTAATATCATTAAATAACTTTTTAATAAAGGAACGAACGACTTTCGATTGTTGAAATAATAGTATTTCAAACAGTTTGGTTATCATCTATTTTTGAATTATACAATAAAACTAATGAGTTTAGTATTTTTGCTCATTATCTTCCCTATCTAAATATTCTGTTGGCATCGGTCGATTCTGTTATGCATTTTGCTGACACATGATACTTTAAAAAGACTTTTTCTAATAGATCAACTACGCCCCTACATTCTTTAGTAGATTGACAATTGCGATAATATAATTCGCGAAGGGCATCTGCTTCTGTGAGGACTGAAATAAGAAATTAAAATTAGTCCAATTAACAGTCGTAAACGAACGTGAGAACCAAAGTCTTACCGTCTTCCCAACCAGGCTCGTTAGGTACAATCCATTCGTGTCCATTGATGACTACCGTTTGTAGTATAGGATATGCCAAAACACACGTCAGCAAAACAAGCGTCGTCAATAGTACAAAAATCAATACTTTCATCAAAATAAATGGACAAGATTATAACTAGCGTTTTTGGATATAAGTCAATCTCCCTCTTGTCACCATAGTGTTTTGAACTAAGAACTAAACTAAATGGCATTGCCATCTGTATTAACCTGAATTAAAGTTACAGCTACAATTAGTCATCAATAAATTTAGTCAATAACAGCCATATTTACTTAGTGGCAAAACACTACTCTATTTATTATTGTACGCAATCGTCTATTTGATTTAAATATTTTTCATGCTCTGATAACTTAGTATCAATAAAGTTCGAGAATCGTGACAAGTATTGTTTTTTCTTATGTCTGATGACATGTATATTCTTGCCGACAAAAGGTACAAAATAATACGAAAAAGCAGAGTTGGTATTGTCAGCGCGTGCTGGGGTTGTATGATTGATAAGACTAATGCCATACCACTTCATCGGATAGAGCTTGAAAAGACGCGTAGAATGCATATATTGCGGCCTTGTGTTGACATGATTTTATGGGGAAAATATCGTTTAGAAAAAAGGTCTACTTTTCGGAAAAAACGAATTTTTTAAAAATTTCCCTGAGAGCGTACTTAACATTTTGGAACATTGTGTCCGTTAGTGATTTTGTAGCTCTACACATATAGAATCTAATCTGACGGTATCAGCTCATGAAAGTGCTTCACTAAAAAATGGTGAAAATGCCCACAAAAGGTCTATTCTGCTGGAAAATGGGATCTTCACAGATCTAGGAGGTCACCGTGCCGTTGTTTTAGAATCTTTTAAACGTGATATTCGTCATCAGGAGCTCAAGTTGTACTAGTCCTGTTACTCTCGAACAATCCGGATAAAGTCGGTGTAAAGCCTGGTACGCTCTCGAAAGAATCACCCTTATCGGGCTGCTCAAAATAGTGTTAAGTAATAACGTCTTCCATTTTTGTTGAAATTCCTATATACAGAAATTCGGTAAGCAATGGGAACCCCATGTGCGCCACCATATGCTAACCTGTTCGTTTTGTTAAATGAACTGTGGCTATTCGACAAGTGCGAGAAGTTACCTTTTCGATTTTTTCGCTACCTGGACGATGTCTTACTGCTTTGGTATGGCGTTAAACCAGAATTTGAGCAATTTCTTTCGAAACTGAATACAGTAAATCCGAATCTAAAATATACAGTGGAAAGTTTCAGTGGGACGATCAATTATCTGGACGTATCAATTACAAAAAATACAATACTCAACAAAGTGATCTCGAAACTTTTCAAAAAGCAGAGATACGTTTCAATACTTTCGATCAGAGTTAGGACATCCTAGATTTATATTATTTACCTCGTCTTACAATTTAGCTGAAATATCATCATTATTAAATTGAAAAATGTACGTTTCTCATATTATTGAATCAATCTTGAACAGGACTCGTGCTTAAATAATAGACTTGACGGTGCTATTCCTGTCGTTGAATGAGGAGTTGCTCTATATGCGGTAAGAAACCGATTCAATTCAAAATGCCAATCTATTTGATTTATATTTGCATTTTGGGATACCTTTCTTAAATTTTGTATAAACCGCTCAGCTTCTGCATTAGCTCTTGGCCAACATGGTATAATAGCTCTATGTTTTATGCCATAATAGTTGCAAAAATTATCAAATTCAGCTCCATTAAATGGTGGGCTTTGTCAGTTTTAACTATTTGTGGAATACCAAATAGTGACAATGATTCGTGTAGTTTTGGTAATACATAATGCAATGCTGTTGTATTCACTTCTTGAATTATTACAAATCGAGAATATTCGTCTATAATCACTAATAAATATGTACCTGAATCAGTTGAGCCATAAAAATGTAATGCAATTAACTGCCATGGACTTGATGGTAATTCTGACGTTTGACATGGTTCATGTTGCACTGCTGCTGACTTTATTTGGCAAGTATAACAACTACTCAAGCGTGCTTCTACCACTTTATCTAGACCTGGAAAATACACTTTTGATCTCAATAATGCTTTTGTTTTCTTGACACCTTGACGCCCATCATGCGCTATATCAATTACAGGATCATATAAGCTTTCTGGAATAACAATTTCATCATTCCTCATAATTGCTCCATCGGATGTAACACATAGTTCATCAAATTAGTTGATTCTAACAGATCATCGTTTACTTCTCCATTAATACATTTTTTAAGCCCAATAAATACTTTATCGTTCAAAATTTCGATCAATAATTCTTTTCTTGTGATTGCTTTTGGTAAGGCATGTTCAAATAAACAATTAATATACTCTTCAGTACCATTTGGTGCTTGAAATTCTTATATAATTGGGTTGCGAGACAAATAATCAGCTGGATTGCCTTTACCAGGATGATGTTTTACAGTGAAATGGTATTGGGCCAGACGTAAACACATTCTTTCTATACGTGCTGGTGTTTTTGCTTTTGGATTTTTGAAAGTATATTGTAGGGCTTTATTGTCTGTTACCAGTGTAACGGTTCGACCGTAAAGAGACATATGGAACTTTTCGCAGCCCCATACGCATGCTAGGCCTTCCCTTTTGATTTGTGAGTATCGGCGCCCAACGTCTGATAGTGCCCTGCTTGCGAAGCTTAACACGGGTTGATCTTTTGGATTCATTTGAGTTAATATTGCACCCAAATTGAACTTGCATCAACGACCAATTCTAAATTCCATTTTCGGTTATAAAATGCTAATGATTTATTAGTTATCAGAAGAGATGGCAGGATGCCGCAGGATAGGCATGGAAAATAAAATCCTTCTTCGTACAGGCACATTTTTTGTTCAGAAATGCTTCACATGCACCTCATTCGAGGCAGCCGCTAAAGTCTGGGAATTCATTATACTGGATATGCTTTTTCGGAAAATGATTAACCAACCCGAAAATCTTTATTTCTTTACTTTACCTTTATTTTATCAAAGTAAATTGATCCATTTATCTTTATTTAAGAAACAACGATAAACAAAGAAAAATTGCGTATGTCAGGGTATGTACTTAAAAAGATGTCTGAAACACAGAACTTTGCCAACACCTAAAAAGGATCTTGGTCAATACCGTAAATGTTTTCTAGTTATTTCTCATGC